CTCTCTCTCTCTCTCTCTCTCTCTCTCTCTCTCTCTCTCTCTCTCTCTCTCTGTTCAGGACAATGGAAGGAATGAAAGCAGTCACATTTCCTGCTCCTATGTCAAGGTCATTCATAGGACTGTTTTTGTAAACAAAAAAGAAAAATGTCCTGGGAGCCAGAACAATTGAGATTGGAGTATAAACCCAACTTTCCTTGGTGCCACATCCCAGGTGGCAGAGCATGACCCCTGAATGGTAGCACTGCAGATGGGACCCAAAGCGGGTAAAAAGCCCATCCGGTAGTGAGTCTCTAATTGTCAATTTCCTTCAAAACACTTCCTTGCTACAGGAACTTTTCTACTCCCAGTGTGGTGGTTTTGTCACTTGCCCTTTTGTTCTTACATATGTGCTCATGAAAAGATCGTGTATGTGCATGGATGCATGTAAATAACATTGGGCTGTGTCCACATTTCCCGAGGTGAATTATCTTTCTCTAATACTCACTTCCAGAATAAAAGGTTTGTGGCCATTGAAACTGTTTCTGTTAGTAGGAAGAAAGAATGTGAAGTGGCTCTAAATACCAGATACGAACACTAGTTCAGAACTCTCTTAGTTGATATTAGAGATAATCATTAACAGAGTGAAGTATATATAAATAGCCTAGATTTCCCAAAATAGACACCTTGTTCTGCTGTTGGGAGGTTCCTAATAGGGTATCCTATCATGTAAACTCATCAAGGGAGGGAACTCTTAACCATCCCAATGCCCATCAAGGAAGGACTAATTCGATCATGGTTCATTACCCAATGGGGGAGAGGGTTCTGTTCGAAAAGGACATTTAAAGATATTGGAAAATGTGCACGATATAGCACTAAGTGATAAAAGGTTATGAAATGATGCGAAGTATGATCCTATTTTTTGTCTTAAAATTATATAGAAAAGAGACTGGAAGGGTAGTCTTTCAAAATTTTGATGGGTGTCTGTAAGTGGTAGATTACAAAAATTTTTTTCCTTTATAATTTTTCCTTTGCGATCTCCTTAATTTTCTGCAATGACCATAATTTTACAATGGGAAAAAAATTGAGTAAAGGAAAAGTGGTTTGACTTTAAGTTACAGCTTTTTCCCATTTTCTCCCAACCTCCCTTAATAGAACACAACTCTCACAACCCCCTCAAATGAACAGCTGTGGAATGGAGTCCTTGCAGGGTGCAAACTACACACAGAAAAGGCAGATGACAAATTTCTGTCTTGGAACTCAGCTAATTTGGCTCAAGTGTAAAGATTTCTGCTTTCCAGGTTCACCCCCATTTCCAGCCATCAAGTTTGGCACCAGCCCCGAGGGAATTACTTTCGTTTCTTCAAGGCTGCTTACTTCTATCCACAGGCCTGCGGTGGAGGTGTGTTTGTCTCCATTCCCTGGATAGCTGAAGGGCAAGGTCAAGTCAGGTCTGGGCACAAGGGCACTCCCTTGTGACTTAGGCAGCAGCTGTTCTCCCCCATCCCCCTGGTCACCTACACGACATTCCCAGGTTGTGCTCAAGGGAGCCCCTGAGTGGATGTCCTCCTTTGCGGAGGTCAGCAGGTAAGCCGCTGGGCTGTGGATCTCTGCTGGCGACAAGCTGTAGCCCCTCAGGCGAGTTGTTTGGCATCACTGAGCCTCAGTTTCTCTCTGAAGAATGGGGATCATTAAACCTACCCTTAGGGCACTATAAAAGTTGGAGTTATGCGCTGCTGCCGCAGCTGTGCTACTGCTGCTTCAGGGTCTCCCTTCTAGAGCTCCATCTTTCTCTAACAAGGCTGTCATTTTTTTTTTTTTCATATTCATTTCAGCATGCGGGAGCAGCCTTATTAACTCAACAGCGCCACGTTACGTTTCCGCTTTCCTGGCTCATCCCGGGAAGTTCACCTCTAACCTGCTGTGACTTTGGAAAGGTGGGCTCCCAGGAGGGAAAGGGAGGCCAGAAGTAAACACAGGAACCTTCAGGGCGCAGCTGCACTTGGCAGCTCCAAGATGCCTGTTGTTGTTGGTATGAAAAGTGCTAACGCCTCAGCTCTTGAGCTGCCAGGGGGAAAGAGATGCTGCCTTACTTGGGGCACGAGGAGAAATTCATATTTGAAAGGCAAGCTAACGTCCTTGGATAAAATATGTCATGCAAGTTGGAAGGACTGTGATTTATCACAATATTTTTCTAAGACTTCAAGGCCTGCAATGTTAACTCTAGGACTGTAAACCATGCCATAAGGGATGTAAAATGGAGAGATTTTTTTTTCCACTCTAGAAATAGCTGCCAAACAGACAGATCCCACCCAATGCTCACTCGCATGCTGCCAACAGAGCATTCGGACCTCATCACTGCCCAGGAATAAAGGGATGGATATGAAGTCAGAACCGGCAGCAGGGAGTGGGGGATGGGGGAGAGCACCCGGGGGCACCTGGCATTAACCGAGTGCCTATACTGTGTCGGGCACTTTACACAACACGATGTCCTTGAAAGTGCACAAAACTCTCTTGTTATG